AGTGTTGTGCAGTGTGTATATAGTGTTGTGTGTATATAGTGTTGTGCAGTGTGTATATAGTGTTGTGCAGTGTGTATATAGTGTAGTGTGTATATAGTGTTGTGCAGTGTGTATATAGTGTAGTGTGTATATAGTGTTGTGCAGTGTGTATATAGTGTTGTGTGTATATAGTGTTGTGTAGTGTGTATATAGTGTTGTGCAGTGTGTATATAGTGTTGTGTGTATATAGTGTTGTGCAGTGTGTATATAGTGTTGTGTGTATATAGTGTGTATATAGTGTTGTGCAGTGTGTATATAGTGCAGTGTGTATATAGTGTTGTGCAGTGTGTATATAGTGTGTGTATATAGTGTTGTGCAGTGTGTATATAGTGTAGTGTGTATGTAGTGTTGTGCAGTGTGTATATAGTGCAGTGTGTATATAGTGTTGTGCAGTGTGTATATAGTGTTGTGTGTATATAGTGTAGTGTGTATATAGTATTGTGCAGTGTGTATATAGTGTAGTGTGTATATAGTGTTGTGCAGTGTGTATATAGTGTTGTGCAGTGTGTATATAGTGTTGTGTGTATATAGTGTAGTGTGTATATAGTGTTGTGCAGTGTGTATATAGTGTAGTGTGTATATAGTTTTGTGCAGTGTGTATATAGTGCAGTGTGTTATAGTGCAGTGGTATATAGTGCAGTGTGTATATAGTGCAGTGTGTATATAGTGCAGTGTGTGTATATAGTGTAGTGTATATAGTGTAGTGTGTATATAGTGTAGTGTGTATATAGTGCAGTGTGTATATAGTGTGTGTGTATATAGTGTTGTGCAGTGTGTATATAGTGTAGTGTGTATAGTGTTGTGCAGTGTGTATATATAGTGTAGTGTGTATATAGTGTTGTGCAGTGTGTATATAGTGTAGTGTGTATATAGTGTTGTGCAGTGTGTATATAGTGTTGTGCAGTGTGTATATAGTGCAGTGTGTATATAGTGTTGTGCAGTGTGTATATAGTGTTGTGCAGTGTGTATAGTGCAGTGTGTATATAGTGTTGTGCAGTGTGTATATGTGTTGTGCAGTGTGTATATAGTGTTGTGCAGGTGTATATAGTGTAGTGTGTATAAAGTGTTGTGCAGTGTGTATATAGTGTAGTGTATATAGTGTTGTGCAGTGTATATATAGTGTGTGCAGTGTGTATATAGTGCAGTGTGTATATAGTGTAGTGTGTATAGTGTGTGCAGTGTGTATATAGTGCAGTGTGTATATAGTGTGGCAGTGTGATATAGTGCAGTGTGTATATAGTGTTGTGCAGTGTGTATATAGTGTAGTGTGTATATAGTGTTGTGCAGTGTGTATATAGTGCAGTGTGTATAGTGTGTGCAGTGTGTATATAGTGCAGTGTGTATATAGTGTTGTGCAGTGTGTATATAGTGTAGTGTGTATATAGTGGTGCAGTGTGTATATAGTGCAGTGGTATATAGTGTTGTGCAGTGTGTATATAGTGCAGTGTGTATATAGTTTGTGCAGTGTGTATATAGTGTAGTGTGTATATAAGTGTTGTGTAGTGTGTATAAAGTGTTGTGCAGTGTGTATATAGTGTAGTGTGTATATAGTGTTGTGCAGTGTGTGTATATAGTGTTGTGCAGTGTGTATATAGTGTTGTGCAGTGGTATATAGTGCAGTGTGTATATAGTTTTGTGCAGTGTGTATATAGTGTAGTGTGTATAAAGTGTTGTGTAGTGTGTATAAAGTGTTGTGCAGTGGTATATAGTGTAGTGTGTATAAAGTGTGTGTAGTGTGTATAAAGTGTTGTGCAGTGGTATATAGTGTAGTGTGTATATAGTGTTGTGCAGTGTGTATATAGTGTAGTGTGTATATAGTGTTGTGCAGTGTGTATATAGTGTAGTGTGTATAAAGTGTTGTGCAGTGTGTATATAGTGTAGTGTGTATATAGTGTTGTGTGTATATAGTGTTGTGCAGTGTGTATATAGTGTAGTGTGTATATAGTGTTGTGCAGTGTGTATATAGTGCAGTGTGTATATAGTGTTGTGCAGTGTGTATATAGTGTAGTGTGTATAAAGTGTTGTGCAGTGTGTATATAGTGTAGTGTGTATATAGTGTTGTGCAGTGTGTATATAGTGTTGTGCAGTGTGTATATAGTGTTGTGCAGTGTGTATATAGTGCAGTGTATATAGTGTTGTGCAGTGTGTATATAGTGTAGTGTGTATATAGTGCAGTGTGTATATAGTGTAGTGTGTATATAGTGTTGTGCAGTGTGTATATAGTGCAGTGTGTATGTAGTGTAGTGTGTATATAGTGTTGTGCAGTGTGTATATAGTGCAGTGTGTATATAGTGCAGTGTGTATATAGTGCAGTGTGTATATAGTGCAGTGTGTATATAGTGCAGTGTGTATATAGTGCAGTGTGTATATAGTTTTGTGCAGTGTGTATATAGTGTAGTGTGTATAAAGTGTTGTGTAGTGTGTATAAAGTGTTGTGCAGTGTGTATATAGTGTAGTGTGTATAAAGTGTTGTGTAGTGTGTATAAAGTGTTGTGCAGTGTGTATATAGTGTAGTGTGTATATAGTGTTGTGCAGTGTGTATATAGTGTAGTGTGTATAAAGTGTTGTGCAGTGTGTATATAGTGTAGTGTGTATAAAGTGTTGTGCAGTGTGTATATAGTGTAGTGTGTATATAGTGTTGTGTGTATATAGTGTTGTGCAGTGTGTATATAGTGTAGTGTGTATATAGTGTTGTGCAGTGTGTATATAGTGCAGTGTGTATATAGTGTTGTGCAGTGTGTATATAGTGTAGTGTGTATAAAGTGTTGTGCAGTGTGTATATAGTGTAGTGTGTATATAGTGTTGTGCAGTGTGTATATAGTGTTGTGCAGTGTGTATATAGTGTTGTGCAGTGTGTATATAGTGCAGTGTGTATATAGTGTTGTGCAGTGTGTATATAGTGTAGTGTGTATATAGTGCAGTGTGTATATAGTGTAGTGTGTATATAGTGTTGTGCAGTGTGTATATAGTGCAGTGTGTATGTAGTGTAGTGTGTATATAGTGTTGTGCAGTGTGTATATAGTGCAGTGTGTATATAGTGTGTATATAGTGTTTGGCATGTTTGGACTTCAATATGAGTTATTGGTACAAACTTATCCACAGCAGTTATTGATCTGATATCAATAAATGGACACATGGAGACATCTGAGTGACATGTTTCTGACCTGCTACTTGTCTCTCTCTCCCCACCTGTCTCTCTCTCAGCCTGTAATGTCACCATCCACAACCGCTGCAGAGACAGTCTGGCCAGCTGTGCCAAGATGAAACAGAAGGTAAGACCTGTCTGTCTCTCTGTCTGCACTGGCCACCTGTCTCACCACCTGTCTGTCTCTCTGTCTGCACTGGCCACCTGTCTCACCACCTGTCTGTCTCTCTGTCTGCACTGGCCACCTGTCTCACCACCTGTCTGTCTCTCTGTCTGCACTGACCACCTGTCTCTCCACCTGTCTGTCTCTCTGTCTGCACTGACCACCTGTCTCTCCACCTGTCTGTATCTCTGTCTGCACTGACCACCTGTCTCACCACCTGTCTGTATCTCTGTCTGCACTGACCACCTGTCTCTCCACCTGTCTCTCCACCTGTCTCACCACCTGTCTGCCTCTCTAACAGCAACAGAAGCTGGCGTTGGTGAGAAACAGTTCAGCTCTGCAGAATGTCGCCATGCGCACCAAAGGTGAGTCAACCTATCTATCTCTCTGTCTGTATATCACAATGAACGACCCCATCCAGCTGAATTTTGGGAAATGTAGGATCCAGTGTTTTTGTGCAAAAAGTTGTAATCGGTGATTTTTTCATCTGTTTCTCTTCAGCTCCGATGATGAAGGAGCGTCCCAGCTCGGCCATCTACCCCTCAGACAGTCTTCGTCAGTCGCTGCTCGGGTCCAGGCGGGTTCGCTCCGGCCTCTCGCTCGCCAAGAGCGTCTCCACCAATAACATTGCAGGGTAAGACTGAGCAGCCGTCTGATTGGTTGTTAAATGTAAAAGCTGAATGACTGAGCTTGTTGTCGTCTTTAGATCCTTCAGTGACGTTCAGATTTTCTGAAATAAATAACGTTGTAACGCAGCTCAGGAACCGTTTCAGCTGTTTTTACAACAAACTGCTTTTTTAAGAAACAAATATTGAATGATCACCTGTCTCTCTCTCCTCACCTGTCTCTCTCCCCACCTGTCTGTCTCTCTCTTCTCACCTGTCTCTCTCCCCACCTGTCTGTCTTTCTCTCTCCTCAGTGTGAGCGAGGACTCTGTGGGTCTCAGGAGGATCCTGTCTCAGTCCACTGAGTCTCTGAACTTCAGGAGTCGGACTCTGTCCATGGAGTCTCTGACTGACGACGGTGTGTTCGTCGTCTCTTCACGGCGTCTCCTTTTATTATCAGTTCTAGTTCTTATTGGAGTTTTCAGAGTCCTGCAGCAGGTTCTGGATCAGTGAAGGAGAATTGTTATCGGTAACATAACCCCAGTGGTGTGTGTTGTGCTGCAGGTGAGTGGTGGTGGAGCCCCCTGCTGGAGGAGCTGCAGGCAGAGGGCAGCTGTGTTCAGGCCGACAGCTGGAGTCTCGTGGTGGAACCAAACTTCCTGCAGACACTTCATAAAGACCTCATCAAACAGCAGGATGTTATCTACGGTACAGAAATACATATTCAGTGTTTCCCTTTAGATACTGAGCAAAGATCAGCAGCTTTTCATCTGATAAATCTGATCAGATATTCACTCTGTGATCACTGTTAGTTTAAAGTCACCAACAGTTTAATGCTAAACAGTTTGCTCATGACTCATAGCTGGATCCTGAGTTTGGTAATGGGCCTACTCTGCATCATCTGAGCTACAACAAGCCCGAGCGGTGGACGGGTCGACAGCCGGCTGTTAATGTTAACGTCGTTAAATACAAGAAGACACACGTGTGTGTATTACACCATCCGTGGCGTTAAAAAGTCATGTTATACATAACCTGCATGACTGTGAGGGCTGCTACTCGGGTCAGAAAGATAAAACATTACGTAAACGGGTAAATGATTTAGATGATTTATTTGGCTGCTAAAACCAAAACAGGAAGTGTTAGGAATCGTAGTAATTAACATTTCTCACCTCGACCTTCTTCAGGTCTGGATCAGTTTTCTGTTCTGATATCAACACGTCTGGACAGATTACTGGGCAGGCACCAATCAGAGGCAGAGTTTTTCTGACATCATTGCATATAAATGTGGTGATATCATAAAAACGTATATGTATATATGTGCATCATTATGTTCATCTATTCACATACACTAGATACAGACACAATGGAAACGAGTCGACTGCTGAAGGTGTCTGATGGCTTTAAAGCTCCAACATCCACACTGTGCTGTCCATGTGGGCGTCTGTCCTCATGGAGACGTCTTTGGGTTTCTGTTACCAATCTCATCAGGACAAACCAGTTTCTTGTGTCTCTGGTTCTCAGAGTTGATCCAGACGGAGTTCCACCACGTGCGGACGTTGCGGATCATGGAGGGGGTGTACCGGAGGGGGATGCTGGAGGAGGTGATGCTGGAGGCGGGCGTGGTTCACACCATCTTCCCCTGCCTGGACCAGCTGCTGGAGTGGCACTCCAGCTTCCTGTCGGAGCTGCTGAACCGGAGGAAGGAGGGACTGATGGAGGGCAGCGCCACCAACTTCACTGTCCACAGGATTGGAGAGCTGCTGCTCAGACAGGTACGGCACATGTGATCTCAGTGTGGATCACTGAGTCACCACATCATACAGGACCAGGTTTCATGATGGTCGGGATTCAAACTCAACAGGATTTCTGAAAACAGCTGTTTGAACTGAGAAATCCAGAAGTTTAAAGAGTGACTTCAGACTCGTTTACATGCAGTGAGACACAGTTTATCTACAGTATCTCACAAAAGTGAGTCCACTCCTCACATTTTCTTCTATCTTTTCGTGTGACAACGCTGAAGAAATGACTCTTTGCTCCAGTGTAAAGTGCCATTTTCCCTCCCCAGTGTCATGTGACCCGTTAGTGTTACAGGGTCTCAGGTGTGAATGGGGAGCAGGTTAAATTTGGTGATGTCACTCTCACACTCCCTCATACTGCTCACTGGAAGTTCAACATGGCACCTCATGGTAAAGAACTGAGGATCTGAAACAAAGAACGGTTGCTCTACATAAAGATGGCCGAGGCTGTAAGAAGACCGCCAAGACCCTGAAACTGAGCTGCAGCACGGTGGCCGAGACCATACAGCGGTTCACCAGGACAGGTTCCACTCAGAACAGGCCTCGCCATGGTCGACCAAAGCAGCTGAGTGCACGTGCTCAGCGTCACATCCAGAGGTTGTCTTTGGGAAACAGACGTCTGAGTGCTGCCGGCATTGCTGCAGAGGTTGAAGGGGTGGGGGGGTCGGCCTGTCAGGGCTCAGCCCATACGCCGCACACTGCATCAAACCGGTCTGCATGGCTGTCGACCCAGAAGGAAGCCTCTTCTAAAGATGATGCACAAGAAAGCTGCAAACAGTTTGCTGAAGACCAGCAGACTGTGGACATGGATTACTGGAACCAGGTCCTGTGGTCTGATGAGACCAAGATAAACTTATCTGGTTCAGATGGTGTCAAGCGTGTGTTGCAGCAACCAGGTGAGGAGGACAAAGTGTCCTGGTCTGGGGCTGCATGAGTGCTGCCGGCACTTGGGAGCTCCAGCTCACTGAGGGAACCATGAATGCCAACATGTACTGTGACATACTGAAGCAGACCAGATCCCCTCCCTTCAGAGACCGGGCCGCAGGGCAGTATTCCAACATGATAACGACCCCAAACACACCTCCAAGACGACCTCTGCCTCACTAAAGAAGCTGAGGGTCCCCAGACCTGAACCCTACTGAGCATCTGTGGGGCTCCTCAAACGGAAGGTGGAGGAGCACAAGGTCTCTAACATCCACCAGCTCCGTGATGTTGTCATGGAGGAGTGGAAGAGGACTCCAGAGGCAACCTGTGAAGCTCTGGTGAACTCCAGGCCCAAGAGGGTTAAGGCAGCGCTGGGAAATAATTGGGGCCCCACAAAATATTGACACTTTGGGCCCAATGTGGACATTTTCACTGAGGGGTGTCCTCACTTTTGTTGCCAGCAGTTTAGACATTAACGGCTGTGTGATGTGTTATTTTGAGGGGACAGCAGATTTACACTGTTACACAAGCTGCACGCTCACTACTTTACACTGGAGCAAAGGGTCATTTCTTCACTGTTGTCACATGAAAAGATAGAATCAGATATTTACTAAAAGGTCAGGGCTGAATCACTTCCATGAGATGCTGTATGTGCTAATCCACATGTAGTTTATCCGTGTGTGTGTGTGTGTGTGTGCGCGTAGTTTTCAGGTCAGTCTGCAGACGACATGAAGAAACTTTACTCTGAGTTCTGCAGTCGACACCCGAAAGCTGTTAAACTCTACAAAGAAGTTTTAACTCGAGACCGAAGACTGCAGCAGTTCATCAGGGTAAGGACCAGGAGGGTTAGTGGGAGCGGGGGACTAGCAGCTATGTACATCTTGCTAACCTTGGCAACCCAGCTGTATTGCGTTAACTTGAATGCATTAGTTTTGGACAAGTTTGTGCAGCGGTGTCTTTGATACTCACCAATCAACTATGGATTTATTCAGGTACGTTTTCTTTGGGGAAAAGACGGCACAAATAAATCAATGTATGGGAAACACTGACCTGGACCAGATCCAGGACCTAAACTTTATTAACTTTATTACCAGGATCTGGATCTGACTAGACCCAGTTTAGACTGCTTTAGTCTGCCGCAGGGATTTCTTCTGTGTGGTTTAGACCTTTAGTCAGGTTGATCTGGTTACTCAGCTTTTGACTAGACTTTTACTACAATGCTTAGACTAGACTAGATCTGGGCCCTGTACGAAGTTCTACACACCAAAGATATCTGTCCTGTATCTGCTTTACTAACAACCAATCAGGCTCAGCTGTTTGTTGGCGTTTTCAACCTGTGTTAATTTTGATTAGACCTGTTTCAGCCTTTTTTAGACCCAGATTCAAACCTGCTTTCCTGGTTTAGGCCTGTTAAATCTCGTTTGCCTGGTTTAAGTCCATCAAACGTGGTTCAGACTGGTTTAACCTGGTCTGGTTTATTCTTTCCTATGGTTAGACTTTGTTTAATCCTGGTTTATGCTAGTTTGTCCAGATCTAGACCTTGGTATGTTTCAGTGTAGACACAGTTTTACTTGGTTAATGTTGACTCTCTGTCTTTCTCATACCATAATGCTCAGCGTGCCTGTCGTGGTCCTCTGCTCCGTCGTCATGGCGTCCAGGAGTGCATCCTGTTGGTGACACAGCGAATCACAAAGTACCCTGTCCTCATCCAGCGAATCCTCGACAACACCAAAGGTAACCTACGAACTTGCACTGCTGGATTCCACCGTTCCACCAGTTTATATACGTCTGCAGACGAGTTCCAGTGCGGCCCAGTTTATATACGAGTTCCAGTGCGGCCCAGTTTATATACGAGTTCCAGTGGGGCCCAGTTTATATACGTCTGCAGACGAGTTCCAGTGGGGCCCAGTTTATATACGAGTTCCAGTGGGGCCCAGTTTATAGACGAGTTCCAGTGCGGCCCAGTTTATATACGTCTGCAGACGAGTTCCAGTGCGGTCCAGTTTATATACGAGTTCCAGTGCGGCCCAGTTTATAGACGAGTTCCAGTGGGGCCCAGTTTATAGACGAGTTCCAGTGCGGCCCAGTTTATAGACGAGTTCCAGTGGGGCCCAGTTTATAGACGAGTTCCAGTGGGGCCCAGTTTATATACGTCTGCAGACGAGTTCCAGTGCGGCCCAGTTTATAGACGTCTGCAGACGAGTTCCAGTGGGGCCCAGTTTATAGACGTCTGCAGACGAGTTCCAGTGCGGCCCAGTTTATATACTTCTGCAGACGAGTTCCAGTGGGGCCCAGTTTATATACGTCTGCAGACGAGTTCCAGTGCGGCCCAGTTTATATATGAGTTCCAGTGCGGCCCAGTTTATATACGAGTTCCAGTGGGGCCCAGTTTATATACGAGTTCCAGTGGGGCCCAGTTTATATACGAGTTCCAGTGGGGCCCAGTTTATAGACGAGTTCCAGTGGGGCCCAGTTTATATACGATTTCCAGTGGAACCCAGTTTATATACGAGTTCCAGTGCGGCCCAGTTTATATACGAGTTCCAGTGGGGCCCAGTTTATAGACGAGTTCCAGTGGAACCCAGTTTATATACGAGTTCCAGTGGGGCCCAGTTTATATACGATTTCCAGTGGGAACCAGTTTATATACGAGTTCCAGTGGGGCCCAGTTTATATACGTCTGCAGACGAGTTCCAGTGCGGCCCAGTTTATAGACGTCTGCAGACGAGTTCCAGTGGGGCCCAGTTTATAGACGTCTGCAGACGAGTTCCAGTGCGGCCCAGTTTATATACGAGTTCCAGTGGGGCCCAGTTTATATACGAGTTCCAGTGGGGCCCAGTTTATATACGAGTTCCAGTGGGGCCCAGTTTATAGACGAGTTCCAGTGGGGCCCAGTTTATATACGAGTTCCAGTGGGGCCCAGTTTATATACGAGTTCCAGTGGAACCCAGTTTATATACGAGTTCCAGTGCGGCCCAGTTTATAGACGAGTTCCAGTGCGGCCCAGTTTATAGACGAGTTCCAGTGCGGCCCAGTTTATATACGAGTTCCAGTGGGGCCCAGTTTATATACGAGTTCCAGTGCGGCCCAGTTTATATACGAGTTCCAGTGCGGCCCAGTTTATATACGAGTTCCAGTGGGGCCCAGTTTATATACGAGTTCCAGTGGAACCCAGTTTATATACGAGTTCCAGTGCGGCCCAGTTTATAGACGAGTTCCAGTGGGGCCCAGTTTATATATGTCTGCAGACGAGTTCCAGTGGGGCCCAGTTTATAGACGAGTTCCAGTGGGGCCCAGTTTATAGACGAGTTCCAGTGCGGCCCAGTTTATATACGAGTTCCAGTGGGGCCCAGTTTATATACGTCTGCAGACGAGTTCCAGTGGGGCCCAGTTTATAGACGAGTTCCAGTGGGGCCCAGTTTATAGACGAGTTCCAGTGCGGCCCAGTTTATATACGTCTGCAGACGAGTTCCAGTGGGGCCCAGTTTATAGACGAGTTCCAGTGGGGCCCAGTTTATATACGAGTTCCAGTGGGGCCCAGTTTATAGACGAGTTCCAGTGGGGCCCAGTTTATATACGAGTTCCAGTGGGGCCCAGTTTATATACGATTTCCAGTGGAACCCAGTTTATATACGAGTTCCAGTGCGGCCCAGTTTATATACGTCTGCAGACGAGTTCCAGTGCGGCCCAGTTTATAGACGTCTGCAGACGAGTTCCAGTGGGGCCCAGTTTATAGACGTCTGCAGACGAGTTCCAGTGCGGCCCAGTTTATATACGAGTTCCAGTGGGGCCCAGTTTATATACGAGTTCCAGTGGGGCCCAGTTTATATACGAGTTCCAGTGGGGCCCAGTTTATAGACGAGTTCCAGTGGGGCCCAGTTTATAGACGAGTTCCAGTGGGGCCCAGTTTATATACGATTTCCAGTGGAACCCAGTTTATATACGAGTTCCAGTGGGGCCCAGTTTATATACGAGTTCCAGTGGGGCCCAGTTTATAGACGAGTTCCAGTGGGGCCCAGTTTATATACGTCTGCAGACGAGTTCCAGTGCGGCCCAGTTTATAGACGTCTGCAGACGAGTTCCAGTGGGGCCCAGTTTATAGACGTCTGCAGACGAGTTCCAGTGCGGCCCAGTTTATATACGAGTTCCAGTGGGGCCCAGTTTATATACGAGTTCCAGTGGGGCCCAGTTTATATACGAGTTCCAGTGGGGCCCAGTTTATAGACGAGTTCCAGTGGGGCCCAGTTTATATACGAGTTCCAGTGGGGCCCAGTTTATATACGAGTTCCAGTGGAACCCAGTTTATATACGAGTTCCAGTGCGGCCCAGTTTATAGACGAGTTCCAGTGCGGCCCAGTTTATAGACGAGTTCCAGTGGGGCCCAGTTTATATACGAGTTCCAGTGCGGCCCAGTTTATATACGAGTTCCAGTGCGGCCCAGTTTATATACGAGTTCCAGTGGGGCCCAGTTTATATACGTCTGCAGACGAGTTCCAGTGGGGCCCAGTTTATAGACGAGTTCCAGTGGGGCCCAGTTTATAGACGAGTTCCAGTGCGGCCCAGTTTATATACGAGTTCCAGTGGGGCCCAGTTTATATACGTCTGCAGACGAGTTCCAGTGGGGCCCAGTTTATAGACGAGTTCCAGTGGGGCCCAGTTTATAGACGAGTTCCAGTGCGGCCCAGTTTATATACGTCTGCAGACGAGTTCCAGTGCGGCCCAGTTTATATACGAGTTCCAGTGCGGCCCAGTTTATATACGAGTTCCAGTGGGGCCCAGTTTATATACGTCTGCAGACGAGTTCCAGTGGGGCCCAGTTTATAGACGAGTTCCAGTGGGGCCCAGTTTATATACGAGTTCCAGTGGGGCCCAGTTTATAGACGAGTTCCAGTGGGGCCCAGTTTATATACGAGTTCCAGTGGGGCCCAGTTTATATACGATTTCCAGTGGAACCCAGTTTATATATGAGTTCCAGTGCGGCCCAGTTTATATACGTCTGCAGACGAGTTCCAGTGCGGCCCAGTTTATAGACGTCTGCAGACGAGTTCCAGTGGGGCCCAGTTTATAGACGTCTGCAGACGAGTTCCAGTGCGGCCCAGTTTATATACGAGTTCCAGTGGGGCCCAGTTTATATACGAGTTCCAGTGGGGCCCAGTTTATATACGAGTTCCAGTGGGGCCCAGTTTATAGACGAGTTCCAGTGGGGCCCAGTTTATAGACGAGTTCCAGTGGGGCCCAGTTTATATACGATTTCCAGTGGAACCCAGTTTATATACGAGTTCCAGTGGGGCCCAGTTTATATACGAGTTCCAGTGGGGCCCAGTTTATAGACGAGTTCCAGTGCGGCCCAGTTTATATACGAGTTCCAGTGGAACCCAGTTTATATACGAGTTCCAGTGCGGCCCAGTTTATATACGAGTTCCAGTGGGGCCCAGTTTATAGACGAGTTCCAGTGCGGCCCAGTTTATATACGAGTTCCAGTGGAACCCAGTTTATATACGAGTTCCAGTGCGGCCCAGTTTATAGACGAGTTCCAGTGGGGCCCAGTTTATAGACGAGTTCCAGTGGGGCCCAGTTTATATACGAGTTCCAGTGCGGCCCAGTTTATAGACGAGTTCCAGTGCGGCCCAGTTTATATACGAGTTCCAGTGCGGCCCAGTTTATATACGAGTTCCAGTGCGGCCCAGTTTATATACGAGTTCCAGTGGGGCCCAGTTTATAGACGAGTTCCAGTGCGGCCCAGTTTATATACGTCTGCAGACGAGTTCCAGTGGGGCCCAGTTTATATACGAGTTCCAGTGCGGCCCAGTTTATATACGAGTTCCAGTGGGGCCCAGTTTATATACGTCTGCAGACGAGTTCCAGTGGGGCCCAGTTTATAGACGAGTTCCAGTGGGGCCCAGTTTATAGACGAGTTCCAGTGCGGCCCAGTTTATATACGTCTGCAGACGAGTTCCAGTGCGGTCCAGTTTATATACGAGTTCCAGTGCGGCCCAGTTTATAGACGAGTTCCAGTGGGGCCCAGTTTATAGACGAGTTCCAGTGCGGCCCAGTTTATAGACGAGTTCCAGTGGGGCCCAGTTTATAGACGAGTTCCAGTGGGGCCCAGTTTATATACGTCTGCAGACGAGTTCCAGTGGGGCCCAGTTTATATACGTCTGCAGACGAGTTCCAGTGCGGCCCAGTTTATAGACGTCTGCAGACGAGTTCCAGTGGGGCCCAGTTTATAGACGTCTGCAGACGAGTTCCAGTGGGGCCCAGTTTATAGACGTCTGCAGACGAGTTCCAGTGCGGCCCAGTTTATAGACGAGTTCCAGTGGGGCCCAGTTTATAGACGAGTTCCAGTGCGGCCCAGTTTATATACGTCTGCAGACGAGTTCCAGTGGGGCCCAGTTTATATACGAGTTCCAGTGCGGCCCAGTTTATATACGAGTTCCAGTGGGGCCCAGTTTATATACGTCTGCAGACGAGTTCCAGTGGGGCCCAGTTTATAGACGAGTTCCAGTGCGGCCCAGTTTATAGACGAGTTCCAGTGCGGCCCAGTTTATATACGTCTGCAGACGAGTTCCAGTGCGGTCCAGTTTATATACGAGTTCCAGTGCGGCCCAGTTTATAGACGAGTTCCAGTGGGGCCCAGTTTATAGACGAGTTCCAGTGCGGCCCAGTTTATAGACGAGTTCCAGTGGGGCCCAGTTTATAGACGAGTTCCAGTGGGGCCCAGTTTATATACGTCTGCAGACGAGTTCCAGTGGGGCCCAGTTTATATACGTCTGCAGACGAGTTCCAGTGCGGCCCAGTTTATAGACGTCTGCAGACGAGTTCCAGTGGGGCCCAGTTTATAGACGTCTGCAGACGAGTTCCAGTGCGGCCCAGTTTATAGACGTCTGCAGACGAGTTCCAGTGCGGCCCAGTTTATATACGTCTGCAGACGAGTTCCAGTGGGGCCCAGTTTATATACGTCTGCAGACGAGTTCCAGTGCGGCCCAGTTTATATACGAGTTCCAGTGCGGCCCAGTTTATATACGAGTTCCAGTGGGGCCCAGTTTATATACGAGTTCCAGTGGGGCCCAGTTTATATACGAGTTCCAGTGGGGCCCAGTTTATAGACGAGTTCCAGTGGGGCCCAGTTTATATACGAGTTCCAGTGGGGCCCAGTTTATATACGATTTCCAGTGGAACCCAGTTTATATACGAGTTCCAGTGCGGCCCAGTTTATAGACGAGTTCCAGTGCGGCCCAGTTTATATACGAGTTCCAGTGGGGCCCAGTTTATATACGATTTCCAGTGGAACCCAGTTTATATACGAGTTCCAGTGGGGCCCAGTTTATATACGATTTCCAGTGGGGACCAGTTTATATACGAGTTCCAGTGGGGCCCAGTTTATATACGTCTGCAGACGAGTTCCAGTGCGGCCCAGTTTATAGACGTCTGCAGACGAGTTCCAGTGGGGCCCAGTTTATAGACGTCTGCAGACGAGTTCCAGTGGGGCCCAGTTTATAGACGTCTGCAGACGAGTTCCAGTGGGGCCCAGTTTATAGACGTCTGCAGACGAGTTCCAGTGCGGCCCAGTTTATATACGAGTTCCAGTGGGGCCCAGTTTATATACGAGTTCCAGTGGGGCCCAGTTTATATACGAGTTCCAGTGGGGCCCAGTTTATAGACGAGTTCCAGTGGGGCCCAGTTTATATACGAGTTCCAGTGGGGCCCAGTTTATATACGATTTCCAGTGGAACCCAGTTTATATACGAGTTCCAGTGCGGCCCAGTTTATATACGAGTTCCAGTGGGGCCCAGTTTATAGACGAGTTCCAGTGCGGCCCAGTTTATATACGAGTTCCAGTGGAACCCAGTTTATATACGAGTTCCAGTGCGGCCCAGTTTATATACGAGTTCCAGTGGGGCCCAGTTTATAGACGAGTTCCAGTGCGGCCCAGTTTATATACGAGTTCCAGTGGGGCCCAGTTTATAGACGAGTTCCAGTGGGGCCCAGTTTATGTACGATTTCCAGTGGAACCCAGTTTATATACGAGTTCCAGTGGGCCCAGTTTATATACGAGTTCCAGTGGGGCCCAGTTTATATACGAGTTCCAGTGGGGCCCAGTTTATATACGAGTTCCAGTGGAACCCAGTTTATATACGTCTGCAAGTTCCAGTGCAGCAAGTCAGAACCGTTTCCGGTGGATTCCAGGCATTAATAACCTCTGACTTTTAATAGCCACTGATCCCTGACCTCTAATGTTCCCTTCCTGCAGGCAGACAGGAGGAGGAGGCACAGGCTCTGAGCCGGGCACTGCACCTCCTGAAGGAGCTGATCAGCTCTGTGGACAAGGAGGTGTTGGAGCTGGACCGAACCAGGAGGCTGCAGGAGATCCAGGCCCGTCTGGACCCTCGGGCCCAGGCAGAGGTCCGAGGAGGTGGAGTGTTCAGAGGAGGAGAGCTGCTGAGGAGGAGACTCCTCCACGAGGGGACGCTTCTCTGGAAGGTCCAGGGCTCCAGGATGAAAGGTGGAGGAGGCTGTATGACCTGTTTACCTGCTTTGATGATATGTGGGTGGAGCTTATACCAACCTCTGTATGTTTGTCTCCAGATGTGCTGGTCCTCCTGATGTCAGACATCCTGGTTTTTCTTCAGGAGAAAGATCAGAAGTTCACTTTTGCATCATTGGTGAGTCTCACCTGGTCACAGTTGCACCTCCTTGTGTCTCTCCATCCATCTTTCATCTTTTCTACCATAATGTCACTTTTGATAAAACTGCTTGCCAAATGAGGAAATAATGGGCAATTGTCCTCTCATCCAATCACACACACTGTAAGGCCTGTCCATCAGGAGCAACTCAGGGTTCAGTATCTTGCCAACTGTGGAAAGGAGGAGCCTGGGATAGAACCGCCAACCCAGAAATTTGTGGGCAACCCACTCAGACACAGCCACATATATAGGTCCAGGTCATGATGGCAGCAGGACAAACAAACCCAGCTCCTTCTTGAGGGTCTTGAAGTGTTGGCTCAGGTCTGACGGGATATATAATCCCTGCATCGTCCTGTTGGCATCCAAATCAAATACTGGACCAGCTCAGCTCCTTTCAACAGGAAGGAAGGTGGTTCTGCACTGAGCTCACCGTCCTGTCTTCGTCATGTTTCTTCCTGTGAGTCATCTGACAGTTTGTCAGACCCGTTACGAGGCCTCCCCAAACTTCCCCCACTGGAGCTGCAGTCCTTCTGGCCTCCTGATATCTGCTGCTGCTTCAGGACTCCCCCTTCAGCTTAACCCCTTAACGCCAATTGTTGCAAATACATCACACTGCTTCTTTTCAGGCTGCAGCTAGATAGCCTATTTATTCCCCTGATGCCTGTTTGTGCATATTCGATACGTACCTAGTAACCATTGGTTTCTAATTTATGCCTGTTGTCACTTATTTGCATCATACCTAGATTATACCTGAATTTCTATCTTTCCTAGGTTCTATAGACAAATTAACAATCTCCAAACAAAAATAATCCTTCTTCTATCACCGCTGGTTCTTTGGATGTCACCATGTCGGGCACTGAGGATCTCCTGGACACAGCTCAGAAAAGCTGTCAGTCATCCAGACTCATCCAAGGAGGGCTCAAATCGAGAATTTCTGGCTCCAGAGCCAGAAACACCTGCAGGAAGTGATAGGAGGAGAGAGGAGAGGGATGAGAAAGCACAAGACTACCAGAAAGGGGAGAAGTTGTGTTAGTAACATGCAATAATGGGATGAGGTTGCATACAGAGGGAGAGAAAGTAGAGGAGAGAGGAGCTCAGTGCATCATGGGAAATCCCCCGGCAGGCAGACCTGTCTGTCCACCTGCATGTCTCACCTGCATGTCTCATCTGTCTCTCTGTCTCAGGACAAGTCTCCAGTGGTCTCTCTGAATAACCTGATCGTCAGAGACATAGCCAATCAGGAGCGAGGAATGTATCTGATCAGTTCCTCCACCCCTCCAGAGATGTACGAGCTGTACGCTTCTTCCAAAGATGACCACAGGACCTGGATGAGCCGCATCCAGCAGACTGCTCTCAGGTCAGTACTGCAGTACTCTGTAGGGGTGGAACTGTGGTGTTTGGTGTGGTGACAGGTCCTTAGGTGGTCTTCAGTGAGGTACATGTCTCTGTCCCTCCTGCTCTCCTGAGGATCTTCAGGTCTGTCTTCTAGCACCCCCTTCAGGACAGACAACTGCTCAGATCAGCTGTAATGAGTTCTGCAGCCTGTAGGAGGGGCTAGCAGGACCAGCCTGGTAGACCAGTTCCCACTGAGACTGGGTCCAGAGTTTTATCTGCAGATGTAGATCTATTTGGGGGAAGAAACAACACAGGTCTGCATCTTAACGCCTAGACCACAGCGGGTCCTGGTTCAGACCCGGTTTGTCTTGAAGCCGAGTCACTGAGCCAGATATTATATGTCTTTGAGCTGTTGGTGAAACATCAGTAGTAACATGTAGTACTCAGGTTAATAGTACTGTGGAAGTTGGTGTAGTTCTTATTTAAGTATTAGTACTCAGTACTTCACAGTATCCTGTGTTTTATCTGCAGCTGTCCATCCAGAGACGAGTTTCCTCTCATCGAGACTGAAGACAAAGCTTTACTGCGCAGACTCAGAGGTACAGCACCTCCTCCACCTCCTCCCCTCCTCCTTGTTCTTGTGGTCTTGCGGTCATGAACAATAATTAGTACAATCTGTTTCTCCAGCTGACATTCAGCAGAAGGACAGGGAGGTGCTGGAGCTCCTGCAGGAGCGAGTCACTCTGTTTGCTGACTTTGTGGAGGCGACAGGAAGAGGAGGAGCAGAAGAAGGAGAATTGGAGCTCAGCATCTCCTCATCTAAGTCCTCCTGCTCCTGCAGGAACCTGTTCAGAGCCGACACTCCTCACGCTCCTCAGGCCGAGCCGCTCCTCACCTCCTCCATCGCAGAAGGTGAGTTTCATTTTCAGTTTTCTTCTGAAAGAAAACATCAGACTGAGACTGAGACGCCTCCTTCTGTGTTTCAGTGGACAAACTGACGGAGCTGCTGCTGAACTCCAACATCCAGAGACCCACCGGGACCAATGGCAACCAGGAGCTGAGCAGTGAGTCCACATCTGTCCACACCTGTCCATATTTGACCATACCTGTCCATATCTGTCCACACCTGTCCACACCTGTCCAACCTGTGATCTGAGTATCTCTCTTTGTGTCTCTGTTTCTCTCTCAGACGGAGACTCTGGTTCTCTGAACGGTGAGCTGAACAGCAGCTCCTCAAAGGTAAATCACCTTTAACCTCAGACTGAAGCTTCCTTTAATATATTCGATCCTACATTTGTCTGAGAGAGGTAATGTTCTCACGTTTGTTCATCAACGCCTTTTTGGCTATGTTGTTTCCATGGCAACAGATAATAAAAAGTTCAGTTTCGTTTAATGTGACCGAACAGAACAAAGTTAGAACAAAGTAAAGAGGAGCGACACTGAGTTTATGCTTTTTTCTCTCAGGACCGAAACGGGAACCAACTGCAAGAACGGACCCTTAATGAGGTAACGACCGTCTCTGACTCATGTTTCCTCGCTCCTCCCTCCTCATCAAGTCAAACGACGCTGAATTCCAGGATGTCAATAAAAAGCTGTGATCCAGCTGTGTTTTGTGCACCCAGTTTCTGTCCAATCAGAGCTACTATTAACAGCCGACACCTGTTCTCTCCACAGGAAGTCCGTCAGCGATTGGTCAGTCTGAGCACGCATCTTCACGCCCTGCAGGTATGACAACAGGAAGTTGTTTACATGTTTATTGTTCATACGGTGATTTACTGTGTGTGTGTGTGTGTGTGTATGTATGTATGTATATTTATTATAGTTTAGCTGAAAATTTACAGTGTAAGTTGAATGAATAGAGACTGCAGCTCTGCAATAGCGGAGCTATTCTGTGTACCCTCCCGCGCTCGCAATCGCCGCACACAAACACATGATTCGAGTGTCAGTCGACTATAGGCAGGACTTGACGATTCTGATTCGACTATGTAAATCCTTAGTTGGGGACTGCCCTAATATAGTGTGTATATGTGTATATATATCCTTCAGTACATAAAGGGAAGTATCAGCCTTCTAACTCATTGACTCCACCCCCAGGCTGCTGTGATTCGACAGGACTCAATCCTGGAGCTGTCACTCAGAACAGGCAATACCCCCTCATCTACGCCAGGCTCTGGCCCCGCCCCCGGGTCCCGCTTAAGTCGGTCGATGTCCCGGGACACAGGGCTGGACGCCAGTGGAGAGGCGGTACTGCTGCAGCGGCAGGTGGAGCTGCTGCAGGAGGAAGTGACACGGCTGCGTCTGAGGGGGGAGGAGTCAACCAGAGAGGGGGCGGAGCCAAGGAGCAGGAAGAGGAGTAATGGAGAGATCAGTGATGTCATTAAGGGAGAACAGGTAGATCAGGTGTTTTACAAAAGTGTCTGACTGTCGTGAATAAACTGAACTAAATAAGATAACCTGAAGCATCTGTGTCTGCAGGTGAGCAGAAGGCGTGGCAGCAGGGAACTGGAGCCCCGACCCCTCGCCCCATTGGCCAGCCAGGATCCAGTTGACCAATTAGACGGCGTTCAGGAAGGAAACGAGGAGGAAGAGGAGGAGGAGGTGATGAGGATCTCTCCTCGCTCTGACAGCCCCAGAGGTCAGTTCAACTCATCAATCAGCATTATTAATCATTAATATATAACTGGAATCATTGTTATTATAGTATAGTAATGCTGATAGTGTGCGATCAGAATCAGAGTGAAGCAGGTTTACACACACGGGAGCTTAGGATATGATGACAAGATATTTACAGTGTGACTGGACTGGAAGGGGGGGTTCAGAGTCAGAGTCGGGGGGGGGGTACCCTGTCACTGAGGCTGCAGATGGGAAGAAGCTGTTCATGTACCATGCAGTTCTGGACCACAGCCTTCTGCAGGTGAGCCCAATGAGGGAGGCATCATCTGCAAACATGAGGAGCTTGATGGTTCTGGAGTCTGTGGTCATTTAGTCCTGTGGTCTTTGGTTTAGTGGGGACAGGGGTGATTGTGGAGGATTTGAAGCAGGCGTGTTAATGATGTCCGTGAACTCCGGGTCTGTCGTAGATGTAAATGCTCCGTATTTGTATAGCGCCTTTCCAGTCTTTTCAACCACTCAAAGCGCTTTTACACCTGCATTCACCAGTCACACACACTCATACACTGAGCCTAAGTGCTCAAACAGAAACTAATATTCGCACTCACTCATACACTGGCGGAACAGCCGCCAGGGGCAATTTGGGGTTCAGTATCTTGCCCAAGGACACTTCGACCGCCGACCTTCTGATTAACGGGCAACCTGCTCTACCTCCTGAGCCATAGCCGTCGTAGTGGACCAGGGTCTGTCATAGTGAACCACGGTCTGTGTTAGTGACGTAGGGTACATCGTAATGAACTGGCGTCTGTCGTAGTGAACCGGCGTCTGTCGTAGTGAACCATGGTCTGTTGTGAACTGGGTTCTTGAGAGGTGAATCTTAGTCTGTTGTAGTGAACTTTGTCTATCGAGGTGAAGTGTGGTCTGTAGTAGTGAACCAGTCTGTAGTAGTGAACCGTGGTCTGTAGTAGTGAACAAGTAGCTGTCGTAGTGAACCATGGTCTGTCCTAATGAACAAGTGGCTGTCGTAGTGAACCGTGGTCTGTCCTAATGAACAAGTGGCTGTCGTAGTGAACCACGGTATGTTGTAGTGGACCAGGGTCTGTAGTGAACCACGGTTTGTCGTAGTGAACTGTGGTCTGTTGTAGTGAACCGTGGTCTGTCCTAATGAACAAGTGGCTGTCGTAGTGAACCATGGTCTGTCCTAATGAACAAGTGGCTGTCGTAGTGAACCACGGTATGTTGTAGTGGACCAGGGTCTGTAGTGAACCACGGTTTGTCGTAGTGAACTGTGGTCTGTTGTAGTGAACCGTGGTCTGTCCTAATGAACAAGTGGCTGTCGTAGTGAACCACGGTATGTTGTAGTGGACCAGGGTCTGTAGTGAACCACGGTTTGTCGTAGTGAACTGTGGTCTGTTGTAGTGAACCGTGGTCTGTAGTAGAGAACCATGGTCTGTCTTAGTGAACCGGCTTCTTGGTAGGTAAACCAGAGTTTGTCATAGTGAACTTTGTCTGTCATAGTGAACCATGGTCTGTGCTAGTGAAATGGGATCTGTCGTAGTGAACCAGGGTTTATGGTGAACTGGGTTCCTGAGAGGTGAACCGGCATCTGTCATAGTGAACCGGGGTTCATCATAGTGAACCGGGTTTTTGGTAGGTGAACCAGGGTCTGTCATAGTGAACCGTGGTTCGTCGTAGTGAACCAGGGTCTGTAGTGAACCGAGGTCTGTCGTTGTGAACCAGAGTCTGTAGTGAACCAGGGTCTGTCCTCACAGGAGCTGATATAGGACGTCACAGCCTCTGTAAACTCATCCAGACTGTTGGAAACGGTCCTGAAAACATCCCATTCATTCCAAACCTGCCTGAAGGTCCTCTACAGCCTCACTGGTCCACTGTTTTGATGTCCTCACTGCAGGTTTACAGAGCTTTAGTTTCTGCCTGCAGGACCATGATGTGATAAGAGTCCCAGTGGGGGGACAGCGTGATAGTCACTGCTTACTGTGGTGTAGCTGTGATCCAGAATCCTCTCTGGTCTCTGGTCTGACATTTTGTATTTGGGAGTTTTGAGATTTCCTTTGTTAAAGTCACAGAGGACAGTAACTAAGTCCGGGTTTGTCTGCTCCACATCCAGGACCTGCTCGCACCAAAACGCAGGCAGCCATCTTGTCATCTCCATATAATATTATTAAAGTCTAATTTAACTTTATTATAACTTACTGACTTTATATTATGTTGACCTCTGACCCGTCAGACCTGCAGGACATCCCAGAGGAGAGCGAGTGTGGAGCTGATCCCAGTTAACGTTGCACCTACACCTGAGCACCTCAGGGACCTCTGCAGATGTCACTGTGATGTCATCGCGGCTTCACAGACATTCAGAGATCAGTCTGATTCAGTCGCTGTCGGATTTAACCAACGCTGAAGCTGGACATTATTTAATTTCCTGTTTTCTGAATGTTGCTGTTAGAAACAGGAAGTATAACCATGTGACCTGTTTACATCATCACGTCAGCTGGAGCTCCGCCCACACGTGCTGGAATGGGCAGAGCTTTGTATTGGGATTTAAATAGTTTCAAAGGTTAGACACACTACTTTACCCAGAATGCTTTTGGATAATAACATCTGCGTCATTCAGTTAATGATGCTCTTAAACGGGGGGGAGGGGGTAATCCCACAGAGCCTGACCTGATCCATAATCTGACCTATAATCTGACCTATAATCGGATCTATAATCGGATCTATAATCTGATCCATAATCTGATCCATAATCAGATCTATAATCAGATCTATAATCTGACCTAGAATCTGATCCATAATCAGATCTATAATCTGATCCATAATCTGATCTATAATCTGATCCATGATCTGACCTAGAATCTGATCTGTAATCTGATCTATAATCTGACTATAATCTGATCCATAATCTGACCTATAATCGGATCTATAATCGGATCTATAATCAGATCCATAATCTGATCTAGAATCTGATCTATAATCTGATCCATAATCTGATCCGTAATCAGATCTATAATCTGATCCGTAATCTGATCCATAATCTGATCTGTAATCTGATCCATGATCTGATCTGTAATCTGATCCGTAATCTGATCCATAATCTGATCTGTAATCTGATCCATAATCTGATCTGTAATCTGATCCATAATCTGATCCTTAATCTGATCCATAATCAGATCTATAATCTGATCCATGATCTGACCTAGAATCTGATCTGTAATCTGATCCATGATCTGATCTGTAATCTGATCCATAATCTGATCTATAATCTGATCCATAATCTGATCTGTAATCAGATCCATAATCTGATCCATAATCAGATCTATAATCTGATCCATGATCTGACCTAGAATCTGATCTGTAATCTGATCCATGATCTGATCTGTAATCTGATCCATAATCTGATCTGTAATCTGATCCATAATCTGATCTGTAATCTGATCCATGATCTGATCTGTAATCTGATCCATAATCTGATCCGTAATCTGACCTAGAATCTGATTCATAATCTGACCTAGAATCTGATTCATAATCTGACCTAGAATCTGATCTGTAATCTGATCTATGATCTGATCCATAATCTGCCCTAGAATCTGATCTATAATCTGATCCATAAGTATCTTCAGCCTCAGTAACCCTATAACTTCAGGGTGTCAGACAGTGAAACCAAAAACACTTTTTAAGCTGGAACACGTTTACAGAAATTATGATTTCAGCAGTTTCACGTCGCAGGAAGTAGGTCAGATCCTGCAGGGTCAGGTGGGATGGGGGGGTGGAGGGGGGCTATGTGTTGTTGAGTAGTAGATCAGTGGTTTTTTTAAAGAAACAGGAAGCTGTCTGATTGAAACATGACATCACTGCTGAAGCGCTCCTGTTAGCATGTTAGCATGTTAGCATGTGTCTTTTATACTTGTACAGAACCTGAACATATTTTGTCTGGTTGGTTTTAACCAATCAGCTTGCTTGCGGATGTTTTTATTGAGATGTTGAACATGTCAACTCCTCTCTGATGTTATTTGAACCAAAACACTTTATTTACAGCCTGATGACGGACGGTGGCGGCGGCGGCGGCGTGTCCTCGTACCTAAACGACAAAACAGGTAGACGGAGGGAGACTCCCAAAACCACAAACACAGTCCAGGGGCAGGCGTATCAACCTTAAGTCACATGATGTTAAACACATGGTTAACGCTTGCAGTTTGGTTAGGTTTGGGAAAACATCTTATTTGGGTTACAATAATTATGTAAGTCACGTGACTTACGCTGTTTAAATGCTGTTTAACTTAAAACTCTAAATTAGTCACCGTGGCTCAAACTTTGGTCTCCTGTGTGAAAGTCTGGGTTTGACTCGTCCACCTCCTTACGTGGACTTTGTCCTCTTTAGACTAGGTCACCTGACTTCCTCCTGCGCTCCCGTCACACGGCCACTAGAGGTCGCCGCCGCAGTAAACATAAATACGGGTCGTAATAAGCTAACACAGCCGGCGGTCCAGTCATGTTTCAGAGATCCAGGTTCGGCTCAGTGTGGGCCGGACCTGGATCTCTGCAGATATTTCTTTAGAAACTTCAAAACATTGTGAACGAAGGAAACTGGAGACAGAAAGCATCTGAAACCTGCTGCAGTGGCGAAGATGGTGATGATGGTGACGTCTCATTGTGATGTAGAGTTGCCGTGGACATGGACCACCGCAGAAAGTTAAAGAACACCGGATCCAAACACCCATCCCAAAGATCTTTAAAAGATGAACTTGTTGTTCTGAAGAGTCTGACAGGAGATCAGAACCAGCTGCTGAAGATAAACGGCTGGATTTAAAACATGTTGAGGTTCACAACAGACTGACTCAGCATCATGAGAACTCGTCCTTTTCAGGAAAACGCTGTGTTTGATCTTCCTGCAGCTGTTCTATGGTCTTTCTAACATCCGTCACCTTAAGACTCAGTCTGGATCCAGGATCAGCCTGGTCCAGGCCTGAGCTGAGTCTTCTGTTGGTGTAGTTTCCTGTTTGTATAAAGATTTGCTCAGAAACTGTAAATGCTGTTTGTTGTAAGTTTATTGATTCGAGTTCCTCATAAATGTAATCAGCTGGAGAACGTGTTGCTGTTTTTATTTCTCAAACCATAAATTCCTTCATGTTAATGTTTAACCTAGTCTGCATGTGTTTGGATGGTGGGAGGAAGCCGGAGCACCCGGAGAGAATGTGTGGAGAACATGCAAACTCCACACAGAAAGGCCGGGGCAACCGGGGTTTGAACCCACAACCTTCTTGCTACAACAGTATTATATTATTTTATTAAATTATGTGATATTACATTGTGTACAGTAGCAGTTTAATACTTATACAATGTATTTCTGATGTTAAAGAGGTGGTGTTCTGCTTTTTGGCTTTCTCCCCTCTCCTTTATTGAGTTATATCTCTTTTTTTGTGCTGTAAAAGGTTTGCTAAGTGAAAAAGCCCAAAGGGAGTTCCCACCTCCCACAGAAAACTCTGCTCTGAACTGAAAACAGCTTGTTTGTAGTCCAGACGCTTCCCTTTGAAAGCTAAACAGCCTCATATAACGCTCGCCAAGCGGCGACTCAGACACGCCCTCAGAAACAGCGAGCTGCAGCACACAGCTCTCCTCTCCCTTCCAAACACTAGCTACCCTCCAGGCAGTCAGTGGACAGAAAGTTGTTCCTGTGATGTAGAGACAGAGCTCAGTTAAAACTTTATGGATACAGATTAATAACTCACCGCTCTGAAACTCTCGCTCCAGTCCAAAAAAGTTAAAAGTCAAGAAAAATCATTCAAATTCTAAAAAAAAGCATCATCGTCTGTGAGAAACATCAACAGTTTTAACAGTCGCCTTCTTATTCTCGTGGTGATAAAGAAAATCTCTTCTAAAGAAATGAACATTTAACAGAATGTGTGCTCATCCTGAGATGGAACAGTTTTCCTTCTTATGTAACATTGAACATATTCTGAGACAGACAGGGATTAAATTCACAGAACGTTAAAGATGCTCGATCAGTTAGAAACCTCAAACTTTATTATTAAGACAAAACGTGTCTATAAATCTCCTGCCAGTGATTTTCTCTGTAAAGTGAAGACAGAAGAAGTTTTATTTTTAGTAATGTCAAACTCTCCAAGGAAGAACTCACTATCGCACGGATAAATCAGTGAAACCTCGATCTGTGAACCTATCAGGAGCTGCAACACGCTGATGATGCACCTGTGTACCTGCCATCAGCATCAACGCGCCCTTCACCAATATCACCATCTGTAACAGTCATTTATTCTTGTTGTTCCATATTTTATTAAAGGACCAGATGGAAATCCTGCAAATCAATAAATACAAATCTATCCAGCAAGGATGAAGAACAAGCTGGTTGAATTTAAGTTAACTACTGTACACATGAGCATGCCCCCCCCCATCATGGAATTCATCTTCTCTACTGAAACTATATATATATAGAAAGTGAAGGAAACGTGTTAAACACTCATTTGGTTGTTGTTTGCATTGAAACTCTGATGCCTAGGGGGAGAAATATATATATATATATATATATACACACACTGCTGTGATGTACATACACAAAGTATTGCTCCATTCATCTTTATGCATCAGTAATAATACAGTGATGTAATAATACACATTTAGTTGTAAATACTTTTGTACTTATACCGCAGTAAAGGTTTGAATGCCAGTCTTTTACTGACGGTAACAGATCATTTTGTTGTATTTGTACTTCTGAACTAAAGTAAATAATAGTAAATACTTCTTAAATACACCTTCTGTGTTATGTGAAGGACTCTGCACAGTTGCATATGCGTTATAAATATATTTTTTAAAGTACATTTTGTACATCGTGTTAGTTGTGTGAATATGTCTGGTCTGTAAATGTTTGTGATCTGTGTCTATTTTGCTGCTGCAACACCGCAATTTCTGCTCAGGGATCAATAAAGTTTGTTTTGTTTTTTATTGACAAATATTCCATATACAAAAACATGGCACTGAGTTGTGACATACTGCAGAAAGGATCAAGTGCATGTCAAAAGATAGGGAAAAACAAAAAAGAAAAGAGGATAAAAGTCTCAATGCATTCTTTGTTTCCATAACATTAAGGGCTTTTGTAAAGGAAAGAAGCTCATTATGAAATACACAAAACTTAGGATTCACTTTCAAAAACTTTGACTTGTTGATATAAAATTTCATGACAATGTTGTTAATCAGAAAGTCGTCTTTGTTGTTGTCCATGACACAACCATAGATACTGTCCTTCAGAGAAAAGTTCTTCAGACGGGAAACCTTTGGGTAAAGCCAGTCATGTATATCAAGCCACAACACTTCAGAATACATACAATGGAAGAATAAATTATCAGTAGCTTCATTGTTATCACAAAATACACAGTTACTGGTTTCTATTCCAAAACGCTGTCGTATCAAGTCGCTGGACGTTAAGAATTTGAAAATGGATTTCTTTGGCTTTGGGGAATTTTAATTTAATTATTTGGTTCGTAACGAGTGAATAGTACATTTTGAGAAAAATTGTGAAATTGAGTTTCTATGTTGTATATTGGATATTGGATATTGTAGGGTATGAGATGCTATCAATCAAATTCCTAATTGTTTTGTTAGGGACTTTATCCTCATTAAAGACAAGGCCTCCAACTCAAAGTAGAGGGAGAGAAGGGGGTTCATTAACATTCCCCTAATTAAACACATAAAAGAGTTGGGGGTAGCATTAGTTATGGAGTGAAAATGATTACGATTGGCAGTGAGGTCAGAAGTGAGACAGAAGTTCTTGTGTGACATGAGACAGCGTCACTGTCCACTAAATGGACCACAGAGCAAATACCTTTATCCATTCAGTCCTTGTTGGACAGCGATTTGTTTTCGTTTTGGTGAAGTTATGATTATATAAGAGTTTCCAATTTAAAAAAAGGGAAGTCTTTGAATCGGGAAATGGATCATAACTGTCTCTCTAGACCACTTTTAATTTGTAATGGCGCTTCTCTCTACGTCAGTTCCTGTGGAGGGAATTTAACCCGGAAGAGGGTGTAGTCCTGTAGTCCTGAGTTGGGAGTTGGCTGGATGAGGAAGCGGCTGAGACCTGAACCAGATACAGAACCGACAGAGACCGAGGCCAGAACACGCTGAACCAGAGATCCAAGGCCGCGCGACAGTTGAGACACCGAGCCGCAGCGTTTCCCGCGTTTCTAAAACTTAATTCAGTTTAAAGTGAGCCGCTCCGTTAGCCTGCTAACAGCCAGTTAGCCTGTCTGCTAACGGGGAAGTGACGGAGTCAGGAAGTCGGGCTCGAGCCGCAGGTGTGTTTTCTTCAGAGGAACAGAGAGGTAAGACTCGGAATCACTCAGGTACACCTCACCTGGTTTCTGCTAGCATGCTAACAGGCTAACAGGGCGGTGGTCCGCCGCTAGCATCTGGAGCTAACATGCTAACTGCAGAACAACAACACGTCAGGCGCAGAAAGATCCAGCTGGACCCCGCAGACAGATCCGGTATCGCGTCCCGGAACTGAAGGCTAATATCTTAATGAACTGGTTTAAGATTCATTTCGTCTCAGTCGCTGCAGATCTGAACCCGATGATTGTGGATTAAAGGGGGAAGACCGGAGGTGGTCAGGTGGGCCAGTCCGGTTTCAGGTCCAGTTTCCGGGGGGGGGGGGTGTCTGCTGTCAAAGTGTTAGTTCACAGGGGGACGGAGGGGATGAGGGCGTCGAGCAGATCGTCAGCTGGCATTGGCGTGACGGAAGCAGCAGCGTTTGAACCCTCTTTGTATTAAATGTAGATAATATTTGTCATTGATCTGAACGTTTTCAGTATCTGCACACTACTGCTCTTATGTCCCGTCATATGATTGGCTGCAGGTGTTGTGATTCCAGCGACGTCACTGTGGAGCAGCTTCGTCTTGTTGGCAAAGCCAATCTCACTTTTAGAGCCTGGACAGTAATTAACAGCGAGGTTTTCATTTTGAAATTAAGCCGGGGAAAAGGGAGGCAGACTGGAAGATGCTGCAGAACCAGGTTCTGGCTGCAGTGCAGGGCAGGAGGAGATGAGCACCGTCTCAGAAAGTAACATGTTATTATAGAAAATTTGCTTTTAATGCCACGCTGGGTTTACAGCGCTGCCACAGAGCGCTGTAAACCAAGCGGCCTTATTTTGTTTTCCCTGTGATGTGAACTGGAGCATTGCGTTCTGTGTGCGCCGCTCGAATGTGTACCCAATGATGGAATATTCGGTCCAGCCCTAGGTGCTGGAGTATAAAACCTACATACATACACATATATATATATATATTTGAGTCCTTCCTTCGGGGGGGGGGGCACATAGTTTTCCAGTAGTTGTGTATTTATTGTGAATCAGATGTGATGTTAGGAAGGCGTGTCGGCGTGAAGAAGGGACGAAAAGAGAAGCTTTCAGGTGTTTTAACGTGACGCTGTGTGTTCATGAAGGAAAAAGAAGAAGAAGATGAGTGGAGGACTGAACAGCATCGATGCAGTGAAGAAGAAGATCAAGGTGCTGCAGGAGCAGGCGGAGGAGGCCGAGGACCGAGCGGAGAGGCTGCAGAAGGAGGTGGAGAAGGAGAAGAGGAGCAGAGAGGAGGTACGCACACACACAACACACCTGTACAGGTGTGGGAGGGTCTGTTCTCCTCAGATTCCATTAATACCTGCATATGTTGAAAGAGGAACGTCGGGTACGTTCCAGGAGACTGCTCTGCAGTACTGTGGAATAGTACTATTATTGCTGCAGTACCTGCTCCTAATAGTACTATCTCATAGTACCACAGTATTTAGGGCGGACACTGACTGTGAATCAGCTGATCAGGAGTCAGTAATGTTTCTCCTCCCTGCGCTGTGTCTTGCAGGCGGAGGCGGAGGTGACTGCTCTGGGTCGGCGTCTGCAGCTCAGTGAGGAGAACCTGGACCGGGCCCAGGAGAGACTGACCGCCGCCCTCCATAAGCTGGACGAGGTGGAGAAGGTGGCTGACGAGAGTGAGAGGTCAGTCGCACCTGAAACACATCCTTAGGGATGGGGACAAGTTCAGGGTCAGTCTGGGTTCAGGGTCAGGGTCAGTCAGGGTCTGGGCTCAGGTTCAGGTGTCCTCCCTCAGTGGACATGTTGATAATGATTATGATCCCCCCCCCCCCCCCAGAGGCATGAAGGTGATCGAGAACAGAGCTCTGAAGGACGAGGAGAAGATGGAGCAGCTGGAGGTTCAGCTGAGAGAAGCCAAGCAGATCGCTGAGGAAGCCGACCGCAAATATGAAGAGGTCAGAATAACCTACCGTAATACACAGGCCCTAGTACAGTACCCATAGTGCACAGCCTGGCGGTACTGTGATGTGAAGAGGGTCGCTATAAACCACCCGGCACCCGCTGTAAACCACCAGGCACTCCCACCTGGCACTCGCTGTAAGCCACAAGCCACCCGGCTGTAAAGCCCCCGGCACTCGCTGTAAGCCACCCGGCTGTAAAGCACCCGGCACTCCCACCAGGCACTCGCTGTAAGCCACCAGGCACTCCCACCTGGCATTCGCTGTAAACCACCTGGCACTCGCTGTAAACCACCCGGCGCTCCCACCTGGCACTCGCTGTAAGCCACCAGGCACTCCCACCTGGCATTCGCTGTAAACCACCTGGCACTCGCTGTAAACCACCCGGCGCTCCCACCTGGCACTCGCTGTAAACCACCAGGCACTCGCTGTAAACCACCCGGCGCTCCCACCTGGCACTCGCTGTAAACCACCAGGCACTCGCTGTAAACCACCCGGCGCTCCCACCTGGCACTCGCTGTAAACCACCCGGCGCTCCCACCTGGCACTCGCTGTAAACCACCCGGCGCTCCCACCTGGCACTCGCTGTAAACCACCCGGCGCTCCCACCTGGCACTCGCTGTAAACCACCCGGCGCTCCCACCTGGCACTCGCTGTAAACCACCAGGCACTCCCACCTGGCACTCGCTGTAAGCCACAAGCCACCCGGCTGTAAAGCCCCCGGCACTCGCTGTAAGCCACCCGGCTGTAAAGCACCCGGCACTCCCACCAGGCACTCGCTGTAAGCCACCAGGCACTCCCACCTGGCATTCGCTGTAAACCACCTGGCACTCGCTGTAAACCACCCGGCGCTCCCACCTGGCACTCGCTGTAAACCGCCAGGCACTCGCTGTAAACCACCCGGCGCTCCCACCAGGCATTCGCTGTAAACCACCAGGCACTCGCTGTAAACCACCCGGCGCTCCCACCTGGCACTCGCTGTAAACCACCCGGCGCTCCCACCTGGCACTCGCTGTAAACCACCCGGCGCTCCCACCTGGCACTCGCTGTAAACCACCCGGCGCTCCCACCTGGCACTCGCTGTAAACCACCAGGCACTCGCTGTAAACCACCCGGCGCTCCCACCTGGCACTCGCTGTAAACCACCCGGCTGTAAAGCTCCCGGCACTCCCACCCGGCACTCGCTGTAAACCACCCGGCTGTAAAGCTCCCGGCACTCCCACCTGTCACTAAACCACCCGGCGCTCCCACCTGGCACTCGCTGTAAACCACCCGGCTGTAAAGCTCCCGGCACTCCCACCTGGCACTAAACCACCCGGCGCTCCCACCTGGCACTCGCTGTAAAGCCCCCGGCACTCGCTGTAAGCCACCCGGCTGTAAAGCTCCCGGCACTCCCACCCGGCACTCGCTGTAAGCCACCGGCTGTAAAGCTCCCGGCACTCCCACCCGGCACTCGCTGTAAGCCACCCGGCTGTAAAGCCCCCGGCACTCGCTGTAAGCCACCCGGCTGTAAAGCTCCCGGCACTCCCACCCGGCACTCGCTGTAAGCCACCTGGCACTTCCACCCGGCACCCGGCTGTAAACCGCCAGGCACTCCCACCCGGCTGTAAACCACCTGGCATTCGCTGTAAGCCACCAGGCACTCCCACCTGGCATTCGCTGTAAGCCACCAGGCACTCCCACCTGGCATTCGCTGTAAGCCACCAGGCACTCCCACCTGGCATTCGCTGTAAGCCACCAGGCACTCGCTGTAAACCACCCGGCACTCGCTGTAAGCCACCCGGCTGTAAAGCTCCCGGCACTCCCACCCGGCACTCGCTGTAAACCACCAGGCACTCCCACCCGGCACTCGCTGTAAGCCACCCGGCTGTAAAGCTCCCGGCACTCCCACCCGGCACTCGCTGTAAGCCACCAGGCACTCCCACCTGGCATTCGCTGTAAACCACCCGGCACTCGCTGTAAACCACCCGGCGCTCCCACCTGGCATTCGCTGTAAGCCACCAGGCGCTCCCACCTGGCATTCGCTGTAAGCCACCAGGCACTCCCACCTGGCATTCGCTGTAAGCCACCCGGCACTCCCACCTGGCATTCGCTGTAAACCACCCGGCACTCGCTGTAAGCCACCCGGCTGTAAAGCTCCCGGCACTCCCACCCGGCACTCGCTGTAAGCCACCAGGCACTCCCACCTGGCATTCGCTGTAAGCCACCCGGCACTCCCACCCGGCATTCGCTGTAAACCACCCGGCACTCGCTGTAAGCCACCCGGCTGTAAAGCTCCCGGCACTCCCACCTGGCACTCGCTGTAAGCCACCAGGCACTCCCACCTGGCATTCGCTGTAAGCCACCCGGCACTCCCACCTGGCATTCGCTGTAAGCCACCCGGCACTCCCACCTGGCATTCGCTGTAAGCCACCCGGCACTCCCACCTGGCATTCGCTGTAAACCACCCGGCACTCGCTGTAAGCCACCCGGCTGTAAAGCTCCCGGCACTCCCACCCGGCACTCGCTGTAAACCACCAGGCACTCCCACCCGGCACTCGCTGTAAACCACCAGGCACTCCCACCAGGCACTCGCTGTAAACCACCCGGCACTCGCACCCGGCACTCGCTGTAAGCCACCAGGCGCTCCCACCTGGCATTCGCTGTAAGCCACCAGGCGCTCCCACCTGGCATTCGCTGTAAGCCACCAGGCGCTCCCACCTGGCATTCGCTGTAAGCCACCAGGCGCTCCCACCTGGCATTCGCTGTAAGCCACCAGGCGCTCCCACCTGGCATTCGCTGTAAGCCACCAGGCACTCCCACCAGGCACTCGCTGTAAACCACCCGGCACTCGCTGTAAGCCACCCGGCTGTAAAGCTCCCGGCACTCCCACCCGGCACTCGCTGTAAGCCACCAGGCACTCCCACCTGGCATTCGCTGTAAACCACCCGGCACTCGCTGTAAACCACCAGGCACTCCCACCCGGCACTCGCTGTAAGCCACCCGGCTGTAAAGCTCCCGGCACTCCCACCCGGCACTCGCTGTAAGCCACCAGGCACTCCCACCTGGCATTCGCTGTAAACCACCCGGCACTCGCTGTAAACCACCCGGCGCTCCCACCTGGCACTCGCTGTACACCACCCGGCGCTCCCACCTGGCACTCGCTGTAAAGCCCCCGGCACTCGCTGTAAGCCACCCGGCTGTAAAGCTCCCGGCACTCCCACCCGGCACTCGCTGTAAGCCACCCGGCTGTAAACCACCCGGCGCTCCCACCTGGCACTCGCTGTAAACCACCCGGCGCTCCCACCTGGCACTCGCTGTAAACCACCCTGCGCTCCCACCTGGCACTCGCTGTAAAGCCCCCGGCACTCGCTGTAAGCCACCCGGCTGTAAAGCTCCCGGCACTCCCACCTGGCACTCGCTGTAAACCACCCGGCGCTCCCACCTGGCACTCGCTGTAAACCACCCGGCGCTCCCACCTGGCACTCGCTGTAAACCACCCGGCGCTCCCACCTGGCACTCGCTGTAAAGCCCCCGGCACTCGCTGTAAGCCACCCGGCACTTCCACCCGGCACCCGGCTGTAAACCGCCAGGCACTCCCACCCGGCTGTAAACCACCTGGCATTCGCTATAAGCCACCAGGCACTCCCACCTGGCACTCGCTGTAAACCACCAGGCACTCGCTGTAAACCACCAGACACTCGCTGTAAACCACCAGGCACTCGCTGTAAACCACCAGGCACTCCCACCTGGCACTCCCACCAGTCACTCGCTGTAAACCACCAGGCACTACCACCTGGCACTCGCTGTAAACCACCAGGCACTACCACCAGGCACTCGCTGTAAACCACCAGGCACTCGCTGTAAACCACCAGGCACTCCCACCTGGCACCTGCTGTAAACCACCAGGCACTCCCACCAGGCACTCGCTGTAAACCACCAGGCACTCGCTGTAAAGCCCCGGCACTCGCTGTAAACCACCAGGCACTCGCTGTAAACCACCAGGCACTCCCACCTGGCATTTGATGTAAACCACCAGGCACTCCCACCTGGCACCTGCTGTAAACCACCAGGCACTCGCTGTAAAGCCCCCGGCACCTGCTGTAAAGCACTCGGCACTCCCACCCGGCTGTAAACCACCCAGGCACTCCCACCTGGCATTCGCTGTAAACCACCCGGCTGTAAAGCCCCCGGCACGCGCTGTAAAGCACAGTGATTCAGTAGATCACCTGACACCTGGCTGCCGGCTAACACTGCACATCTACTCTGTGTGTGTGTTTGATTGACAGGTGGCTCGTAAGCTGGTGATGGTGGAAGGAGAACTGGAACGAGCTGAAGACCGAGCCGAGCAGGGGGAGAGGTAACACACTCAGCTCTGCATGTCTAACTGCTGCTTATGGCTTGAAGCTGCTGCTGCAATGCTGCTGGCTGACAGATGGGTAGGGAGAGACGGGGAGGGAGACAGACAGGTGGACAAAAAGACAGACAGGTTGTGGGAGGAGCCAGGCTTATAGGTGTGCTGGTTAGAATGAGGTTTCTTCTAGAGATCACGTGAAACTCAGGACGTCTCGCTGCTGATCTGACTGTGTGAATGTGATGTCACCGTGATGACTGGCTGACCTCAGTATGATGTCACACTGCTTCACTAACAGCGCTCTAATCTTTCTGCATCGGTCTTCCTCTTCCTGTCTGTTTCCATGGAAACATGTCTCTGCTGCATGCTACCTAACAGTAAGGTTCGGAGGTTGGAGGAGCAATTGAGGAGTTTCGACCAATCACTGAAGAGCCTGCAGGCGTCTGAGGACAAGGTACTGAGGGTCACCTGACCTCCCACCTGCTGTCAGTCAAAGCAGATGAAATCCTCCTCCTGACCTCCTGCTGCCTCCCGTGACCTCTGACCTTTAGCTGCTGCTTCAGCTCCTCCTCCTGCTACGCCTCGCTGCATGACTTTAATCTGCTGTAGACGCCAAACAGCACACCCGTCTGCCGCCCCCAAGCTACACGACAGCGCCTGCCGCCACCCCCAAACTACACAACACCCGCCCAAACTACACAACAGCGCCTGCCGCCACCCCCAAACTACACAACACCCGCCCAAGCTACGCGACAGCGCCTGCCGCCACCCCCAAACTACACAACACCCGCCCAAACTACACAACAGCGCCTGCCGCCACCCCCAAACTACACAACACCCGCCCAAGCTACGCGACAGCGCCTGCCGCCACCCCCAAACTACACAACACCCGCCCAAGCTACGCGACAGCGCCTGCCGCCACCCCCAAACTACACAACACCCGCCCAAACTACGCGACAGCGCCTGCCGCCACCCCCAAACTACACAACACCCGCCCAAACTACGCGACAGCGCCTGCCCCCACCCCCAAACTACACAACACCCGCCCAAACTACGCGACAGCGCCTGCCGCCACCCCCAAACTACACAACACCCGCCCAAGCTACGCGACAGCGCCTGCCGCCACCCCAAACTACACAACACCCGCCCAAGCTACGCGACAGCGCCTGCCGCCACCCCCAAACTACACAACACCCGCCCAAGCTACGCGACAGCGCCTGCCGCCACCCCCAAACTACACAACACCCGCCCAAGCTACGTGACAGCGCCTGCCGCCACCCCCAAACTACACAACACCCGCCCAAGCTACGCGACAGCGCCTGCCGCCACCCCCAAACTACACAACACCCGCCCAAGCTACGCGACAGCGCCTGCCGCCACCCCCAAACTACACGACAAACTACACGGCGGTGCCCGTCTGCCGCCCCCACCAAACTACACGACGACGCCCGTCTGCCGCCCCCGCCAAACTACACGACACCTGTTTTTGGACGTTCCAGAAAGCAGGTTAACAGATTGTTCAGATGGCGAGCGGTGGCTGTTGGTCCTCACACCAGCAGGTAGAGGACGAGTCAGTCTGATACTGAGGCAAAAACCAGTGACATCGCTCGCCGTCTGAAATCACCTGAACTCTAAAATAGAACAAACACAGATCGAACAGGTGAAACTCCTGTGACATCTCGGCTCTGATTGGCTCAGAGCTCGTTCACGCGCTTCAGCTGCAGGAAGTGAAATAGCAGCTTTGGTTTTAACCTGAACCTGTTTTCTGGAACTCAACGTGTCGGCCCGACCTGTCTCTGACCTCTGACCTCTGACCTTTGACCTGCAGCAAGTGTCGGATTTTGGAGGAGGAGCTGAAAACTGTCTTCACTGGTTCAAAGTCTCTGGAGGCGCAGGCTGAGAAGGTAGGAGGGGGAGGGGGAGGAGGGGGAGGAGGGGCACACTAATGTTTGACAGCCACAGTGACACACCTGAAGTACACTGTGACCTCACTGCTGTGGGGTCCGAGGTTAAACCAGCTGCTGTTCAAAGTCTTTATGTTTCCGTTAGGGACCAAATTAAAATTCTTGGCCGAAGCCGAATGTAATGAAAAACTTTCCTGAACATCAAGTAAATTCACATTTTATCCATTTATTTTCCCGCTGCATAAACAGTCAAAATGAGCTCTTTCCTCAGTGTTTCCCACAGGATGGGGAGAGACTCTGGGGGGGTCCGGGGAGAGACTCTGGGTGGGGTCCGGGGAGAGATTCGGGGGGGGGGGTCCGGGGCCCGACGAGGTCCGGTAAAGTAAATTTCATGAGTCCGTTTACTTTTAATGGACACATGTAATATGTTTTATACTTTCTGTAGTAAATATAATCCAGTTATCTTATTTCCATCCTATACAGACGCCTTATTTTGAAAACTGGACGCTGTCACGTGTTTCCTCCTCGCTAAATCCATCCAGTCCGACCCGGTTTGATAAATGTTGTATGTGGTTCTCGTCCGGCGTCACATGAACATGATACACAGCTCACTGTTTCACACAGTCGGTTATTACTGTTGCACAACGCGCTGACATGTAACATGGAAACTGCAGCTCTGTACAGTGCTGTAAAACAGAACCAGGTCTTCAGCATCTGAGCATAAAGACCTGGTCCAGCATCCGGTCTCCGTAGCGGACCCCAAACAAGCTAACGTTAGCATTTCACCTAAATCATGACTGCTAGCTGAGCGAAGGCTCAGGCCTTAGCTGGAAATGCAGAAACGTGTTGTTGTCGTCCACCGGGTCTGTGAGTTTGGGTCGGAGCGTTCCAGGGAGTCGCACAGCTGGTACTGGGGGCGCCGCGCTGAAGGAGTTCTGATCAGATAACTGGATGAATGGATGGAATAATATAAAAACTAAATAAATTACAAAACTAACGCGGACAGCATGAGCGCTCCGGGCTGACCGTCGGACCGTTCGGCGTGAGGACAGTTTGTTCAGCTTGACCTGAAACCAGACCTGACCCTGATGTCAGGTGACCTCATGATGTCAGTAAACCTGGTTCTCTGATTGGCTGCCTCTCTTTCTCAGTATTCCCTGAAGGAGGACCGGTACGAAGAGGAGATCAAGAACCTGAGCAGCAAACTCAAGGAGGTGAGACCCCAACATTTCTGACCCCTGACACATTACTGACTTCCTGTTTGTCACCTGCTCACTTCCTGTTTGTCACCTGCTCACTTCCTGTCCAGGCTGAAACCAGAGCAGAGTTCGCCGAGCGTTCAGTGGCCAAACTGGAGAAAACAATCGACGGTTTGGAAGGTGAGACTTCTCAGCTCAGCAGGTGTCAAATTACACCTGTAACTATTGCAGTCACCTGGGGGCGGGGCTAATTCCAATCGACCTGGGGGCGGGGCTTATTGAGTAGAGATGTTAACACCGTGCTGTGTTTGTGTTTTCAGACGCTCTCACTTCGGCCAGAAACGCCAACATGGAGCTGCAGGCGACTCTGAATCAGACCATGGAGGAGCTCAACTCCTGCTGAACCTGCTGCCCCCCCCCCACCGCTGCCTGACAGGGACTCTGTGGCCCACACATTCCTATTGCCCCCCCCCTTAAGATTCCTTCTTTCACACATTCCTATTGCCCCCCCCCCCTTAAGATTCCTTCTTTCACACATTCCTATTGCCCCCCCCCTTAAGATTCCTCCTTTCACACATTCCTATTGCCCCCCCCCTTAAGATTCCTTCTTTCACACATTCCTATTGCCCCCCCCCTTAAGATTCCTTCTTTCACACATTCCTATTGCCCCCCCCCTTAAGATTCCTTCTTTCACACATTCTTTCTCTGAACCTTTTAAGTCTCATTTGGAGTCTTGCTTTATTTTACTGTCTAGCCCTCCCTACTCCTCCCCTGCTCCTCCCTGCTCCTGCTCCTCCCTTCCCCCGCTCTTCCACTGACAGTGCCAACCCCCCCACCCCCCCAGTATTATGTGAGGAAGCCAGATGAGGAGTTGCTGGATGGTTTTTTTTTGTCTATAAGGGAGATTAACAGTGACTTACAGCCATCCCCTCGTTACTAACGACTCACTAACCTCAGCGTGTTCGTTAACGGTTTGTCGTTGCACTCATTAGTTTCTTCGCCACATTAATTAACGACAGATTGATTAGAGCCAATGATTTATTACTTTTGTTCCAAGGTGGCGAGGTTTAAGCTAGCCGGTCACAGCGAGGCGTTCCACTGCCATGTTGGTCGACCAGCAGCCAATCAGCATTTTTGTTTTCTACAGGTGACCTTCGACCTAATGATTAAATAAAGTTTAGAAAAGTTTTTACCTGGGAGCCAATGATGATGTCATCGCTGTGCTGAAGTCACAGCTCATTGTAATAAATCATGAGAGGATTTTATAAAATAAAAGCACCGCCACTGTTCTGTACATCCAACCTGACTGGTTCTTTTTTACAGCTAGCAGCAGTACGTTTCCCTCTGTTTGTTTGTTGTGGAGTACAAATCTGAAAGATCAGGGCACACCTTTATACTTCCTGTTAAACAGACGCCATCGTTTTATTAACCTGCAGCCATGTGGCATCAGAATAATCAAAGTTCCTGACTGACACCTGAACGCCCCTCTGGACGCCACAACCGACAGTCTGAAAATGTTGCCATCATTGTAATATTAGCTGTAACGATGCCTCTTCCTCATCTTCACCCGGTGACAGGATCCATAGTGAAGGCAGCTTTAGAATATTTAATATATAATTACTTCATAATGATTAAAGCAAAACTCGCATATAGAAACATGAATACATAATAGTATCTTAGGATAACTTAGTGATAAATGTATTTACAGTACTGTGCAGAAGTTTTACGCAGGTGTGGACAAACTAAAGTAAGAATACTTTCAAAAAGTGAACTGATGCTGTTTGAAGGTGACAGCAAGTCAGAACAAATATTGATTAGATGTAGATTTTTCTTCTGTTCACACTTTCTATTTTATTAATTGATCAATTTAATCTAAAGTCTGAAAACTTTCAGACTTTACTGCAGTTTCCTTCACCTGTATATGACAGGACTGGATATTACTACAGTAGAAGTATAAAAATATATGTACAGCCTCAGACAGGTGAGTGTTTACAGTCCAGGTAAGAATCTCCCAGCAGCCTTTGCTGCTTCAGTGACTATTCAAACGCAGCTGCAGACTTCTCTTGAGTTTCTAGAAAAACTTTATTGATCACAGAGAGAGGACAGTGATCAGCTCTACAGTCCTGCTGTTACTGAACGTTCATCCGTTATCGATCAGTGATTTTCAGCTGCTTCCTCCACCAGCTTCAGGATTGGTTGCAGCTGCTCTTCCAACGAGGGGGCGTCAGCCTCATTAGTGATGAGCCAATCAAATTCAACCCCACTGTCCAACCCGCACTCTGACTCCGCATCGTCCACACCTGAGAGACAGACAGGTAGAGAGACAGACAGGTAAACTACCACTGACTGCATCGTCCTCACCTGAAAGACAGAGGTAGAGAGACGGACAGGTAGAGAGACAGACAGGTAAACTACCACTGACTGCATCGTCCACACCTGAGAGACAGACAGGTAGAGAGACAGACAGGTAAACTACCATTGACTGCATTGTCCACACCTGAGAGACAGGTAGAGAGACAGACAGGTAAACTACCACTGACTGCATCGTCCACACCTGAGAGACAGACAGGTAAACTACCACTGACTGCATCGTCCTCACCTGAAAGACAGCGGTAGAGAGACGGACAGGTAGAGAGACAGACAGGTAAACTACCACTGACTGCATCGTCCACACCTGAGAGACAGACAGGTAGAGACAGACAGGTAAACTACCATTGACTGCATTGTCCACACCTGAGAGACAGACAGGTAAACTACCATTGACTGTATTGTCCACACCTGAGAGACAGATAGAGAGACAGACAGATAAACTACCACTGACTGCATCGTCCACACCTGAGAGACAGACAGGTAGAGAGACAGACAGGTAAACTACCACTGACTGCATCGTCCACACCTGAGAGACAGACAGGTAGAGAGACAGACAGGTAAACTACCACTGACTGCATCGTCCTCACCTGAAAGACAGAGGTAGAGAGACGGACAGGTAGAGAGACAGACAGGTAAACTACCACTGACTGCATCGTCCACACCTGAGAGACAGACAGGTAGAGACAGACAGGTAAACTACCATTGACTGCATTGTCCACACCTGAGAGACAGGTAGAGAGACAGACAGATAAACTACCACTGACTGCATCGTCCACACCTGAGAGACAGACAGGTAGAGAGACAGACAGGTAAACTACCACTGACTGCATCGTCCTCACCTGAGACAGACAGGTAGAGAGACAGACAGGTAAACTACCACTGACTGCATCGTCCACACCTGAGAGACAGACAGGTAGAGAGACAGACAGGTAAACTACCACTGACTGCATCATCCTCACCTGAAAGACAGCGGTAGAGAGACGGACAGGTAGAGAGACAGACAGGTAAACTACCACTGACTGCATCGTCCACACCTGAGAGACAGACAGGTAGAGACAGACAGGTAAACTACCATTGACTGCATTGTCCACACCTGAGAGACAGGTAGAGAGACAGACAGATAAACTACCACTGACTGCATCGTCCACACCTGAGAGACAGACAGGTAGAGAGACAGACAGGTAAACTACCACTGACTGCATCGTCCTCACCTGAGACAGACAGGTAGAGAGACAGACAGGTAAACTACCACTGACTGCATCGTCCTCACCTGAGAGACAGACAGGTAGAGAGACAGACAGATAAACTACCACTGACTGCATCGTCCACACCTGAGAGACAGACAGGTAGAGAGACGGACAGGTAGAGAGACAGACAGGTAAACTACCACTGACTGCATCGTCCTCACCTGAGAGACAGGTAGAGAGACAGACAGGTAAACTACCACTGACTGCATCGTCCACACATGAGAGACAGACAGGTAGAGAGACAGACAGGTAAACTACCACTGACTGCATAGTCCTCACCTGAGAGACAGACAGGTAGAGAGACAGACAGGTAAACTACCACTGACTGCATCGTCCACACCTGAGAGACAGACAGGTAGAGAGACAGACAGGTAAACTACCACTGACTGCATCATCCTCACCTGAAAGACAGCGGTAGAGAGACGGACAGGTAGAGAGACAGACAGGTAAACTACCACTGACTGCATCGTCCACACCTGAGAGACAGACAGGTAGAGACAGACAGGTAAACTACCATTGACTGCATTGTCCACACCTGAGAGACAGGTAGAGAGACAGACAGATAAACTACCACTGACTGCATCGTCCACACCTGAGAGACAGACAGGTAGAGAGACAGACAGGTAAACTACCACTGACTGCATCGTCCTCACCTGAGACAGACAGGTAGAGAGACAGACAGGTAAACTACCACTGACTGCATCGTCCACACCTGAGAGACAGACAGGTAGAGAGACAGACAGGTAAACTACCACTGACTGCATCATCCTCACCTGAAAGACAGCGGTAGAGAGACGGACAGGTAGAGAGACAGACAGGTAAACTACCACTGACTGCATCGTCCACACCTGAGAGACAGACAGGTAGAGACAGACAGGTAAACTACCATGACTGCATTGTCCACACCTGAGAGACAGGTAGAGAGACAGACAGATAAACTACCACTGACTGCATCGTCCACACCTGAGAGACAGACAGGTAGAGAGACAGACAGGTAAACTACCACTGACTGCATCGTCCTCACCTGAGACAGACAGGTAGAGAGACAGACAGGTAAACTACCACTGACTGCATCGTCCACACCTGAGAGACAGACAGGTAGAGAGACAGACAGGTAAACTACCACTGACTGCATCGTCCTCACCTGAAAGACAGCGGTAGAGAGACGGACAGGTAGAGAGACAGACAGGTAAACTACCACTGACTGCATCGTCCACACCTGAGAGACAGACAGGTAGAGACAGACAGGTAAACTACCATTGACTGCATTGTCCACACCTGAGAGACAGGTAGAGAGACAGACAGATAAACTACCACTGACTGCATCGTCCACACCTGAGAGACAGACAGGTAGAGAGACAGACAGGTAAACTACCACTGACTGCATCGTCCTCACCTGAGACAGACAGGTAGAGAGACAGACAGGTAAACTACCACTGACTGCATCGTCCTCACCTGAGAGACAGACAGGTAGAGAGACAGACAGATAAACTACCACTGACTGCATCGTCCACACCTGAGAGACAGACAGGTAGAGAGACAGACAGGTAAACTACCACTGACTGCATTGTCCTCACCTGAGACAGACAGGTAGAGAGACAGACAGGTAAACTACCACTGACTGCATTGTCCTCACCTGAGAGACAGACAGGTAGAGAGACAGACAGGTAAACTACCACTGACTGCATCGTCCTCACCTGAAAGACAGAGGTAGAGAGACGGACAGGTAGAGAGACAGATAGGTAAACTACCACTGACTGCATCGTCCACACCTGAGAGACAGAGGTAGAGAGACAGACAGGTAAACTACCACTGACTGCATCGTCCACACCTGAGAGACAGGTAGAGAGACAGACAGGTAAATACCACTGACTGCATCGTCCACACCTGAGAGACAGACAGGTAGAGAGACAGACAGGTAAACTACCACTGACTGCATCGTCCACACCTGAGAGACAGACAGGTAGAGAGACAGACAGGTAAACTACCACTGACTGCATAGTCCTCACCTGAGAGACAGACAGGTAGAGAGACAGACAGGTAAACTACCACTGACTGCATCGTCCACACCTGAGAGACAGACAGGTAGAGAGACAGACAGGTAAACTACCACTGACTGCATCGTCCTCACCTGAAAGACAGAGGTAGAGAGACGGACAGGTAGAGAGACAGACAGGTAAACTACCACTGACTGCATCGTCCTCACCTGAGAGACAGAGGTAGAGAGACAGACAGGTAAACTACCACTGACTGCATCGTCCTCACCTGAGAGACAGAGGTAGAGAGACAGACAGGTAAACTACCACTGACTGCATCGTCCTCACCTGAGAGACAGAGGTAGAGAGACAGACAGGTAAACTACCACTGACTGCATCGTCCTCACCTGAGAGACAGGTAGAGAGACAGACAGGTAAACTACCACTGACTGCATTGTCCTCACCTGAGAGACAGAGGTAGAGAGATGGACAGGTAGAGAGACAGACAGGTAAACTACCACTGACTGCATCGTCCACACCTGAGAGACAGGTAGAGAGACAGACAGGTAAACTACCACTGACTGCATCGTCCACACCTGAGAGACAGACAGGTAGAGAGACAGACAGGTAAACTACCACTGACTGCATAGTCCTCACCTGAGAGACAGACAGGTAGAGAGACAGACAGGTAAACTACCACTGACTGCATCGTCCACACCTGAGAGACAGACAGGTAGAGAGACAGACAGGTAAACTACCACTGACTGCATC